GGTGGGAGGTGCAGCCCCGGGCAGTGACCGGCCCGGGCACTGGGTCACGGCCAGAGTCCAGCCTGCGCTGCCCCCGCTCCGCTCCCGGCGGAGAATGGGTTCGGCTCCTTTCACGTGACACCGCGGAGTCTTTGTTGAGATCAGGAAGAATTTATTTGTTCCCAACACCTGTGCCTCCCGAGTCGGCCCTCGAAGTGGGGTCCATAGGCTGTTCAATTACCGCCCCCCCCCCACACACACACACACTCAAGGTGAGAAGTCGGACCACGTGGGTGTCAAGCCTGACACCCGCCCTGTGCTCTCCCTTCTAAGGTTCCCACGCTGGGTTTGGGGTGGGAGCACGCTGACTCGATGAGCTACGAGGGCAGAGAGGGACGCCCCGGACGGACGGGGCGCTAGAAGACGTGAAAATAGTTGCGGGACCTGCTGATCACCCACAAGACCAGGGTCCCAGCCACTGAATTCCCTCTCCTCCGGTTCCTTCCCTCCGCCCTCCCCTGTGCTCGACAAGACACCACCAGCGCAGGTGCAGGTCACTCTGCTGAGGGTCAGGCCGCACAATGGCCCCAGCTGTGAGAGGGTCAGCAGAGGAGACCTAGGAGCCCTCGCGGATGTGAGCAGAGACACAGGCAAGCCGCCGAGGAGGGGGCAGTGGGGAGACAGGCCTGTCCTTGCGGAAAACCACACCCACCAGACGTCTCCGGGGTCTCCCCTGCCAGGCACTCCGTCACCCACTGGGAGCAGGGCTCAGGAAAAGCAGATGGCAGCGAGCGCTGGGGCGTGCGGACGGGGGCACAGGAGCGAGCGGTGAGTGAGGGCCCCGTGCTGCCGGGTGACCTCTGCCCTCCGCCCTCGGCCATGTCCCCTGAGCCAGTCGGTGCGTCTCTGGGCTGCTCAGAGGCAGGGTGACCCCATTTGTCCCCCAGCCACGTGTGCTGCTTCTGAAGCTGCCTCCCATGTCACACCCGTGAGTTCCCATTGGACACTGGTTCTTTGGCCCAGGCTGACCCCATAGGGCTGTCACCCCCCCAGACAGAGGTGTGGGCCCGGCCACCTGGTCGCCGTGACGGACTGGGTTTGGGACTCAACTGTGAGATGCGCCCCCTCCAAGCTCTGCGAGAAAGTGGGGACCAGGAGCCCCCTGATCAGATTCCACAAAACTGATGTGGGCGAACCCCCTACTTCCTCCCCGGTCCCCGCACCCCTAGTCCTGGGGCAGGACAGTCTGAGGACACCTGGCTTCCGCTGGAAACCAGCTGATCGATCCCCGGAGGCTGTTCTCTCAAGAGCTCGTTCATCTGGATCCCAAGTCTCACTTGGAGAGTGAAAGGCGGGGTGCTTTCGTTTCCTCCCCTCTGAGTCCCACAGGACTGTCTCCGGCAGGAACGGACCCCGAGGGATGCCTCAGTGGGGGGGGCAGGGGGGGTGTCCACCTTAGTCCCCAAGCCCTTTCCAAAGGCAGTGAAGTCAGCACAGCACAGGCCTGTGGTGCGGGCGCCCGGGGGCGGGGGGGTCCCCTGTACTCGCTGCCTAACTCCTCCTACCCAGTCAGGCAGCAGCACCGGGTTCCTGGGATCGTTAGAGGATGGAGTTGATCCACGTGGCCGAGCGCCTGGCACGGGTAAGTGCTGGCTGTCTGGGCCTGGGCCTGGGGCCCACGCAGGGCTGTGCCCAGGAACCCACGCAGGAGGGAGCCTGTCACCCCCTGGGAGCAGCAGACCCTCCAGCAGGGAGGGCGTCTGGGTTCCCAGTGAGGAGCCCACTGAGCAGGACGCGGAGAGCGAGGTACAGAGCACAGCGTGGCCGTTCACGGGAGGACGCGGGCCTCCTGCGGCTGAGCCCGGGGAGCCGGGGTCCCCGAGTGTCCGCCCGTGAACTGTCATTTACTCTGCAGCACGGTGGGGCCCCACAGGCGGCCGCGGGAGAACTCTGGGGGCCTGTCAAGCCCGCGTGAGGCGGACGGAGAAGTCCCACGGGCACCATTCAACTCGGGGTCCAACTCGGACCAGCCAGCCAGGCCAGCCTGCCCGGGCACCACGGTGTCTATGGACACATCAGCGCGTGACATTTATCTTAACACCGTCACCATCTCAGGCAGTTTCTCAGGAAGTGAGTATTGAACCCAAACCCACGCCCAGTGCTGCGCGCACAGGGCCACGGTGGGAGGGGGTGGCCGAGAGTCTGCTTCGAGCGCAGCCTGGTGTGTCCCGAGGCGTGGACACTGTCACCACGTGATGGGCCCTCACCCAGGGAAGGCGGGTTCTCTTCACTCCCAGGCTCAGCTCCAGTTTGCTCCTGGCTACCAGGATGGGGGCCGCTGGACTGGACTGTGGCCTAATACTGCTCACGTGCTGCCCGCCTCGGTGAGCGAGTACCCACTAGACACACCCGTCAGCACAGCTCCCCGGGGAAAGCCGTGAGGGCGCACAGGGAGGTCAGTCTGGAACCTTCTCCACCACAGCAGGACCCCAGCTCACACACGCACACCCACGCCCCGGGGACTCCTTCCCACCAGCCGAGCCGCGAGAGGGCAACCGTCACTGCGCCCCACACGGGAGGGAGGCTGTTCGGGAGCCTGGGGCTGGTGCTCGAGGTCAGCTCTGTGGCCTGAGCCGTCCTCCCGCAAACAGTGCCAACCCGCCACACCGCACCACCCGCCACCACAACTGGCCGAAGCAACATAGGCATCACCTGCCCCAACTCAACGTCTCCTAGCAACAAGGCCTGGAGCGCCCGCGGCTGAACCGCTACACTGCCCCACGTGCATCCTCCACGCACGTCCCCCACGTGCCTCTCCACCTTCCCCACAAATGACAGCACAGGATAGCGGAGGTGTTTAAAAACTGTATTCAATTATTCACACCGAAGGGTATCCATTAAAAGTATGAACAGCTCTGAATATAGTTCATGTATCATACATATATATACTTCATATGTATAGTTACCTATCGACAGAACTTCTCGCTGCTCCCAAGCGTGTGCTGTGGAACGAAGGTGGGTTCTGCACGTGGCACCCACATATATGTGTGCGTGCCGGTGGCTGGGATGCCGAGTTTATGTACAACTCGCCTTGGGTTATAATACACGGTTGCTGTTCATCGTACAAACGTGACAGGAGCAGGTTCTCTTAAATACAAAGACTGCAGGTGAGCACGTGAAGAAGGTGCACACGTGGACAGCACGTGTCATTACAAATGCAGAGGCCAGGCCTCATCGGGTTATTGCACTTGCGCATTTTACAAAGATTCCGTGACACGTACAAAATGATGTTTGGAAATTTACTCAACTACAAGCAGTTGGATACAGTTCATCTGAAATTCCTTCTCCTTCTAAAGACAGCTCGTCGGCCTCGGTACAGATCCACGGGCGGGAGACGGGCGTGGGGCACGCGGGGTTGCGCGGTCGGTGTAACTGCACTGCGCTCCATGGTGTGGTCAGCCCAGACTCTCAGCGAGGTGGGGACCTAGGACTTGTAAGGAAAGTCACCTTTCCTTTTCAGAAAGATCCAAAATGCTGCATTTCTTCGAATGGTGGCCACTGTTCACAGTGTTTGGGGCAGCGCGTTCTCAGAAACGGGTCGGGGCCTTGTGCAGCAACGCCTCCAAAAACGTGCTCGCAGAACACACACCGTGCCGCGGGTCACGTGGGAAGTGATATCCCACGCGCCGCCCAGGCAGGCTATCTGAGAGGTGGCAGAGGACTGCCATGCCGTCACACACGGCACTGTGGGTGGGCTGGAGTCCTGGAGAACACACCCTTACAACTTGACCGACAATAGCAATCAAAACTGTCTACTTAAACTTCTGCACACACACAGCCCCTCACAAACATCAGCTGAAAACTAACTTCTCTGCTCTGCCGCCTGGACCCGGCCGAGTCTCTGCCGAGTGCCTGGGAGGCCTGACCTGTGTCGGGGGAGCAGCCGGCCTGCGCTGGGCTGTCAGCCACACCCACTGGCAGTAAAGCGAGGTCATGGTCGCCTTCCGCGCACGGCTTTGCACTGACGGTGCAGGTGGAAAGCTGAGTATCGAGTGGAGGGGTAAGGCTGCTTGGGAAACATCATGTCTTTCTCTTGGTTCCATCTTCTAATAATTTAAAACCAGAACAGCATGGAAACCTTTGTCTTTCTTTTTTGCTATTTTTATCACAGAAACGCAGCTAACTAATGCTTCACACAACCAAAATGTCCAACTGAAAAAGGAAGGAAAAGTGTGGTGGATTGAGCATCACGAATTCAAACTTAGGAGGAGACTTTAAAGCCATTGGCGAAACGTGGATCCGGACAGGGACTTATGCAACGTGAACCTAGAAGCACCTGACAGGCCCAGGGAGGGACCGACAGGGCCCCGGCCTAGGTACATTGTACAGTGACTGAAAAGTCAGACTAATACTCGCAATAGAAGGCATACACTCATGTGACTTTAAATTAATGTCTTTAAAAGAATTAAACGCTAACTCAGCAAAGTGTAGAAAGCATGTTGGAAATATGCAAAGATAGAACAGCTTTTCAAGTCCAGACCATGCATATGTGCCTGGAACCCAACCAAGTCACAGCACACATCACAGTCAGAGGCACAGTGCTTGGGAGCTGCAAACGGGTACACAGCTCACTGGCGGCAGTCACCAGGGTGTATGCGAGTAAAATCGAATAAAAGGCAGAAATCAGTGAGGAGAGAATGGTTCTAGCCATTCAACTTAACAAGGTTAGCCATGGATGCAGCCCTTTACATGTCTTCAATTGCAGTTAAGAAAAGCAAAATAAATAAATGCATGTAAAAAAAATTACAGTATTAAAAAAATGGTTGGGACCAAGGCATGGTGAATAATTTAGTCCTATTTAAAGCTCAAACATTTATTTTGAGTTCATAAACTAGAAGATAATACTCAAAACTAAACATATTAAAAATATTCAGGTAGCTAAGGATTGATGTCGCCATAGGCCTTGTGTACATGAACATTCCGAGAAAGCAAAGTTCACCGAGATCGGCTGCATGAAATTAAAAAACAAACTAAGAAGCATGCAGGAGGAAACCTACACGGAGGGGCGTTTCCAACACGCTGCCTGCGCTGCTGGGACAGCCCCTCAGGGAGCTGTGGT